GTAAACGACACTGGTTTTCGTAACTAGGACTATTCTTGTATTCCTGGGTTAAGTCCCATTTCGTCATGTGGCACACTACTTTAATATGCTGTCAGATTTAGTTTTGCTACTTCTTTGTTGAAGGTCTTACATAAATATAAATGTAAAAGATTTTGATATCTAATTTTGTTCTTGAGATAGCTCTTGTTTTATTGTAATTTTAGAAAAACTGATAGTAATTCTTCCTTATCTGTTTGGTAGAATGTACAGTGAAGTAGCTTGATTCAGGACTTTTAATTGGTATAGATTTATTCAGGTTTTCTGACTATCCTGAAGTCCTTTGGTAAGTTGCATTTATTTTGAAGATTTACTTATTTATGCATATAGAACTGGGGTACAGAGGTGCAGGGAGGGGAGAGGGTTCACCAGAGACAGGGTGGGGAGCAGAGTATGCAGATTGACGAGGGATATACTGCTGAGGGAGCAGCAGGTGGGACAGGAGGGGTCTGCTGTGCCCTGTGGTCACCTCTGGGGCAGGGATCAAAGTTGCATGGAAGCGGCTGCAGCCAGCTCACAGTGCTGTGTCCTAACCCGTTGCGTCACCAGGGAGGGCCAGTAATTTGTATTTTTTAAAGGACTTTTCCTTTTTCACCTAGGTTAACTAATTTCTTGGTACATAACTGTTAATGATGTTCCTTTACACTCCATTTTACTTCTGCAAAGTTTGTAATGCCTGATTTTTGTTTTCTATTTACCTATTTTGTCACTTTAAATATCTGTCAACTTTATTAATCTTTTTAAGGAATCACATTTTGATTTCATTATCTTCTACTCTCTCTTGTATTTATACTGGTTACTTTTCCTGTTTATGCTCCGTTATGGCTCTGGAGGGGCTGGGAGTAATTGGACAGAAGGGCCGAGCCCAGCCATGAGTCACACTGTCCTGTGATGGGCGAGGACATTGGGGCACTAGGGGGTAGGCCATGTCCACTATAGTGGGAGCACCAGCAGCGCCTGCTCCTATTACCTGGCTGTCGATGGCAAGAGGGGCAGCCTCCTGGCTCAGCGTCATCACGGTGGATGGGACCATAGAGTGCAGGTCCACGATGGGTCACAGTGGCGGCGTCGCTCAGGCAGGTGTGGGCTGTGGGGTCCCCAGGGGATGGTCCAGACACGGAGCACTCCAGTTCTGCTTCCTCGGGGCAAGCTCTGAGGCTGGGCATGGCTAGGCCTAGAGATCAGCAAGGACACAGGTGAGCATGCAGAGAGCTCGCGCTGGGGACCCGTTCCCGCCAGGCAGGCACCTCCTCCTCCACCCTGCAGTCTGAGACCTGAAGAGGCCCGGTGCTCGGTGTTAGATATTGACGCCTTGTTCCTGATCAACTGGACGTGGGTAGTCATGAGCCAAGGCCATGGGCAGGAAGATGCTGACCCAAGGGAAGGTGAGTACACAGGCCTAGCAGGCATTCCCCCGATCTCCCCCTGAAAAGGCGCAATCTGCTGAGATAGGAGAACAGCCCTGATGGAGCCTGTAACCCTCAAGGTGGACCACCAGGCCCACTGGGAGGCTCCAACAGCTTGTATTGGCCATGCACACATGACCACAGCCTAACAGTAAGTTCAGAGTTGTGGCCCCCTGGCAGCAGCCAGTGGATGTCCCCATGCCCACTCGTTGGGGCTGTCCTCCCAGTGTATCAACAGCCCCCCACATGCACACCTCCCTATGTTAGTTCCCAGGGCTCATGTCTGTCCCTGGACCTGCTCCCTCTGCTTAACGCACCTAGTCCCGAGGTGTCAGCAGCAGAGCCTAAGGAGACCCCAAACTTGGGCCCATCTGCAGCTTAAGTACTCCTCTCAACAGGAGCTGGGATGCATCTCCCTGAATCCTGCTTACCACCCCTAACATCTGCAAATGCACCAGGCCCTTGCCCACCTGGGGCCAGGCTGGACCGCCTGCCCCTCACCTGCCTCGCACAGCCTCTGCAGGAAGTGCTGCAGAGCTCCTATGGCACTAGCTGCTGGGTTATGTCCTGGACTCTCCCCTTGGACATGTATTTCCGGTGTTTCTCAAACACCCAGCACGTATCAAGGTCTGTTACAGGGACACTGTGGCCACTATCTTCATTGGACTCAGTGGGGAGAGAAGTCAAAGGGAATGCACCCGTGAGGTGGGCAAGTGCTCTGGTTGGAGGCAGCAGGAACTGCGCAGAGCCCAGGGACATTGAGCCAGGCCCAGTTAGAGGCTTCAGGCCACCAAGAGAGTAGGCTACAAAGGAGGCCTCTGGGGAGCCTCGGAGGCAGGGCCACTATGGGACAGGTTGTAGAGGCCGTGGCTGCGGGAAGGTGGGCACGGACCACACTTTCCCACTGGGACACAAACTCACGAAGCTTTTCAGGGTTGACCTGGGAGGGTGCTCAGAGTGGTGGCTGGGTATGAGCTGCAAGGGGAGCCCTGAGTAAGGCACCAGTCCAGGGTCACCTTCCGGGGCACTCTCTCTCCCAGTGGGAGACGCAATTATTTACACTGTCGGTCCAGTCCACGTTACCTGGAAACTTGAAACTATGGTTATCCCTTAGTAGGGCAGCCAGGGGCACAATATACAAACGGCAAAATCCCAGTTACTGGCCTCCCAGCCAACCCGCTCTCCTTTCGAGATTATTCTAGGTCTGCGCAGGCAAATGTGGACATCTCTTCCTTTCTATAAGTTACAGCAAAACATGCTTGGTCTGCACCTTGTTTTTACCTCAGTGCCTGTGGGATCTAGTCCAGTAGACAGTGTGGTCGGCAGGCGCCCCTCAGGCTAGGCGCCCAACGGGCTCCCCAAGATGGGCGCGTGCTCCCCTAGCAGCAAGGAGACCAGCGAGTTAAGGTCAAGGCGCAGTGACCCTGGTGGAGCCAATCGAACCTCCCAACAGCTCCACAGGCGCCGCAATTCTGGGGTGTGGGGAGCGAGTGCCCCCCGGACGGGTTCTGCTGTGCTACACCCTAAGGAATCCGCCTGTGTCAACAACCCCGAGGCCCTGAGCAGGGACACCGGTGAGGGTTCCGGTTGGTGCTGCGCAGACGCCCAGGGATGTCAGCCGGCACCACCACCTCGGCGGGCTCCGCGGGCCGGCCGGCGACCGCCGGCGGTGCCCTCCCCGGGGACGAACCCGTCTCGGGCGCCCCCTGTCCCTAGGCGGAGAAGCTGCCTCAAGGCCTCCTGGAGGACCCCACTGTCGCCGGCTCAGTGCAGTTGCGACGTCCGTCCTCCCTACTGCACCCCCAA